TATATGGGGGCATGGTGGCTCACACCTGTAATCCCAGCACTTGGGAGGCTGAGGCAGGAGGATCTCTGTGAGTTCAAGACCAGCCTGAGCTACATAATGAGTTCCAGGTCAGTCTCGACTACATAGTGAGACTCTGTCTCAAAAAAACAAAAAAATGATGATAATAATAATAATAAATAACAAAAAGGCTGGTAATGTAGGTCAGTAAAAAGGCCCTGGTTTCCCCCCAGTACTGCAAAAAGAAAACAAAACAATTTGTCTCTGATACTTAGCATTTTATTTGTCAGTGCAGTTCAGAGGATACACAGCTCTTCAATTCCATGGGCAAGTTTCCTCTACATACAGGCTTATAGAAAGTAGCACAATGGAAATTGGCCCCAGCTAGCTCAGCTCATTTGCCATGTCACTAGAAGACAGGTTAGATCGGACAAATTCTCAATACTGTCTGAGCCATGAATTACTAAATCCCAACCCAGGCCTTGGACCTGGGTGACTGCAAAATATGAAGGTGTCCTATTGGATTCCGGGCTTTGGTGTTTGTATTTGAGCACATGGATCATATAGAAAACGTGAAAGAGAGGAGAAACTCTCTGTTTAACAGGATAAAGTCACAGGGATTAACTTTCCTCTGCTTTTTCATAATGAAATTACTAAAGCAACGTCAGTAAAAAGGAAACAAATGATGTGTAAAATAATTAGCATGAAAGGAAGCGTAATAGGTTACTTATTAAAATCCATGGACAGATTATATGACCCCACTGGGTCCAGGGGCCAGAGATCACATGACTCAGTGTGCCTTTTCTGGGGCAAGCACCCCAATGTACTTTGTCAGCTTACTGGCTTCTGACATTAAATAAGCTTCAGGTATGATTTATTGAGTAGCCTTTTGACAGGAGCGAGAAACTGAAATCTTCTAGTCCTGGCTGAGCCTCAGCTCTATTTTCATTACCTGCTCCAAGTATTACATTTAGTCAACTGAGTTATGCGTAGTTCTGGGAGAATCTCTCCTGCTCCCAGAAGCCATTGTCCCACTCATAATAAAATTATGCTATCAATTTGCCACAAGAGAAACACTGGAGTTCACTAAATTATTGCCATGTGTTTTGCACTAAAGACAAAGTGATACCAATTAAAAAAACAACCACCCCTGGATTCTATTTTTTAATGGTGTGCAAGGAGGAGCAAGACTGCCTCGCAAGGGAGGTCATGTCTCCTTTCTACACGTTACAAATTTCATTTTCCTTAATTAGAAAGTGGTGTGTATGGAGCATGAGCAGGGGGTTTAAGAAAAGAAAAAAATGAAACCTTGAGCTGAGCCCTAAATAATATGTCAGAAAATGACAACTCGCCTCCCACCAGACTATTTCATTTGAAAGATTTGCTAGGTTACATTAGGCTCAGATAGATTTTTGGGGGGAAATGGGGCCATAACCCACAGACTAAACAATGCCCCAGTTCCAAAGCTTGGCAGATAAGTAAAATCCATACTTTGGTTCCATCACAGCGACAAGTATTACTCTGTAGCTCTCACTTAGGGAACCACTTTCAGAATACTGTGCCCCTAGGGACTTGAGCATTACTTATGATGTAAGGGCTGTCATATTTTTAGATTATCAGCAGGAACCAGTATCCTGCTGTCTCAATTCATCTTCTACTTTATTAATTAAAGAAGTGCCAATAATTTGGTCTCAGAAGGAAAGCTTGCCTATCTATGCCTAAATAAACAATGCTTGCCAGTTTACCATCAGGTTGATTTTGAAGTAAATTCAGAATTTTAGACATTATGAATAAGTCAAATTCCATTACAACCGAACATCTTTACATAATAAAAATATTTCCAGCCCTAGGCAGTAGTTCACAAATTTTAAGTAATACTTCTATTGATGCAGTTTTACTTAGCAATTGTGAGTAGCCTTCACAGCATTTTATAGCTACTTGTATCTGTTCTGAGGACAAGAAGGTAGAATTTCTTGAGAAAATTGACATGTAGTGAAGATGATAAGACTTCCCCAGTAAGATCAGAAATTGCTAACAAAGAATGAAATGACAAGTACCTCCAGTGCTAGGCCTTCTGAGAAGCCCTTCCATAAGCCAAGAGCAGCACTTGCACATAGAACAAAATGGATCCAGAAAAGAGCGTGATTCCTGTAGACATCTTAACAGACTGGAACTATGTTGTGTTTTATGAGTTGGTCATTGTCTATGTTTGCAAACTAGTTGATGGTCTGAAATAATTTCTGGATTGCTTCGGGATTATTTTTCTGCCTTTTAATTGATAAAAAGATTATTCAGAAATACAATGCTTAGCTCTTCGTGGGTACTCAAAATATTTTGTTGAACTCACATAAGCTAGAAAAGAAGTCTGGGGAAGAAAAGATACTTGAAATGTACATTGAGGGAAGAGAGTGACTCTCGGCAGGCAATTTCTTGCAGGAGATTAGATGGGAAGTTAGTTTTGAATCAGAGGAAGGAACTGTTTCTAGTAGTCAGATAGCAGTATGAGAGTATGAAGGGAGGGAAATTGAGTAAAGGGGCCGGGGAGGAAACCAGCTTTCCCTGTCTGGAGAAAAAGAAATGTACAAGAAGTTTTTGATGTATAATGAGAGCAGACACCCCAGCCACAGGGGCACAGTGGGGCAGTATGGGGGAAGGATAAGCATCCAGACAAAGGGTGATGCATGGTGCTTTGTTAACGCGAAAGGAATGGGGCACCGGGTCCCAGTTTGGGTCTAATTCCAGCTCCAACAATTTATGTGATCTTGGGCAATTTAGCCTTTCTCCGTTATCTATTCCCTCATCCGGTAAAGAATGGAGACTGGGAGATTTTTAAGGTCCTTTCTATCCTTAAAATTCTATTATTTTATGATTCTCAGCCTGTGAACAGAAAAAAAATCTAGTCAAAGCAAGTGAGATGAAAAATGATTTTAACCATTGTATCTTGAATTGATTAGAAGAGGAGATGAAGAGACCAGCCGTGGTCGACGATAGGTGACTTAAACAAAACCTGAATCAGAGACTTAGCTATTAAAATGAAGAAAAAGGAACCAATTTTTGTCTCTATTGTTAAAAACCATGGCAGGATTTGGTGACTAATTCAGCATGGGGGCAAGAATAGAAAAAGAAGCTACAACTCTGGGCTCTGTGCCTTGAGAGCAAAGGCTTGGGGATGCTTTCCACAGTGACAGTGGATTTGGTGGGGCCTGATGATCTCTCTGGGAAGATGATTTTGTTTTCACAATAGATAGCATAAAATAATGAGCCCTGCAGAGGAAGAGGTCAGAATAACAGGAAGCACGGTGGGACCGAGCGGGAGACTGAGAGGTGGGCCTGGAGGTACAGATGTTATTCCAATCCTGGGAACAGATGCATTCATTCAGAAAGAAAGGAGGCCTTGGGGGCAGAGGACACTGAGCTCAGGGGTCTAGGTGGAGTCTACCATTTAGAATGGCCCTGATGTTGTATCAGAGCATAGTCACCACAGGAGCTTCCCAAGGCAGAAAATTATATAGGA